GTTCTCTTCATTTGTCCCTGTCTTCACATCTGGAAACAGAAATTTTTTCTTTGTCTCTTAAGAGCCACAAATCTTCAACAACTCTCACTTCTCCTTTTCTCTTCCAGCATCTCATAGGATTACAACAATTTCACCATTCACTCAGCTTTATCAATTAATTACTTTTGCTCAGATCTACACTTTTAAATGCTCCATTCCCCCCAAAATACTGGTTCAGGAATGAAAGGAGTTGTTTCAGAACATTATTGTCCCTCTCCATAGCTTGAACAAAAGAAAATTTCAGCTTATTAAGGCAGCTCTTTATTCTCTTCCCATCTGAGGGTTAATTCCTTCCCTTGCTGGCTTTGATAGTTGATGCTGTCTCTTTATGTGTTGATACCTCTCTCTTCCCCTCTCTCTGGAAAAAGGATTAATCTGCAAGTCTCATCTAGCTAGTGGAAGGGTTGAACTCCTGCCCAGGCCTTGTGAATGGTGCCGTGATCTCTGCCAGGGCAGCGGCTGGAGCTGTTTGCCATGGAAGATTTTCGGTAGCTGCTCTGGAGGAGTGTGGCCACTGTCTCAGCACACTGCAGCTCAAGAGCTTTCTGGCAGAAACTGCAGCCGAGCCAGGAAGTGGCCTGGCCCGGCAGCCCTGCTGCACAAGGCTCAGTGAGCCCTGTGAGGGTTCCAGCCCCTCTGGGAAGGGGCTCCTGTCACTTCACAGTCTCCATCCCCCACCAGGAATCACAGAACTCCGGCCAGCCCCACTCCTGCCACGGCCTTGTCCAGCCTGGGAGGGAGGAGGCAGAACTAGAGACCTGTTACCTCTTCAAAAGCCAGAAACCAAAGAGAAAGAGAAATTCACGGGATTAAGTTTTAAAGGGTGGTGTTCACAAGTTGACGTCAATTTTCAATGGTGAAAACTACTTTCAATTCTCAGAAATGGCAAGTTATTGGCCAGGAGAAAAAACTCCCATCAGCCTCCAGCAACCTTAACATCCTTAGCTGTTTCTCTTTTTATCTTAAATGTCAGTCTATCACACACTACAGCAGTGACAGTCTCAGTGTTCCACTCTCTGTGACATCACAGCAGTGAACTGTCCAAATTTCCTCCTCTCTGTGACACCACAGGAATGACAGCCCCAGTGTTCCCCTCTTTTTGACACCACAGCAGTGAGAGCCCCTAATTTCCTTTTCTCTGTGACACCACAGCAATGACACCCCAGTGTTCCTCTCTCTGTGACACCAGAGCAGTGACAGCCTCCGTTTTCTCCTCTCAGTGACACCTGCTATAAGCAAAGCAGGGAGCACAGTGCCTGTGGAAAAGCAGGCTGCATATCTTTCTCAGTTTCACTTGAGAAAGTGGCCTGGGAAATCATAAGGAGGAATTAAAACAATCCTCAGAGACAGAAGACAGCCTTGCAGGTACTGTTTCTTGTTTTCTTGCAAAAGAAGGTTGACGGGTGGGGTACCCCACTGACCAATGATGGTGATGTGTCAGTTTACTAACCAGTAAGAGTTTTACCTTTCTATACTTTCACGTATTGGTCTATAAAAGAAGATCTGAGGTAATTAAACTCGCTTTCCTTTTCAACTCATGAGAGAGTCCGTGTTGTGCTTCTCATCGTTCCCAATAGCACGACAGGAACCCCCAAAAAATGCATCAAAAATGGGGAACTCCCCCTTGAATCCATGGGATTTTGGGGAATTTTTTTCCCCAAAGCAGCAGGTTTTTTGGGGTGGCATGGGAGGAGAGACCCCCTCCAAATTCCTGGAGATGTCCCCAAGACACCGTCTGCGGAGGCAGTGGAGTGTGACAAAAAGGGCATTTTAGAGAAATTAAGGGAATTTGGGGGGATTTGGGTGAATTTTAAGGAATTTTGGGATTGTTGGATGTCTGGGGGGCAGGTCTTGATTTTGAGGGGTCTTGCGTTCCAGGGCTGCAGGATCATGTCCAGGGAAGCCACAGTTACCAGGAACAATGAGATGGGATTCTGCTCAGGAAACCATTTATTCAGCACAGGAACAAACTCAGATCCAGACACAGCCTCCAACAGAGGCAGGGAGATGGGTTTTGAGAACCAGGGTGGAGTTCAAGGTCAGGGACCACTGGCAACACAGCAAGGGAGAAAGACCAGGGGCCCAAAGCCAATCAGCAATCCCTGGGCTGCCATCCCATGAGGGGCCCAGGGTGGAGTTTCTTCCTGGATTCACAGGGCCCAACCTCTGAGGCAGAGGGATGGAATTCCGGTTTGCCCATGCCACTCACTTTAACAATATTCATTTGAAACTCAAACCTTGCCTCCCTGGGCAGGGGCAACTCACACAAAAACTCAGTAATGGGCTCCCCCTCCCTTCATCATCCCCAAACTTCGGCTGTCTCATTGCAGACCCCACCCCACCTCCCCAATCCCAACCTCAACCCATCCCATCCCTGCTTGACAACAAGACCCCCTTCCCAAGCCCTATTTCCCCCATTTCACACCTTCCAAACTCCATCACACCCATCCTGCCTCACCCAATGCCCATCTCACCCCCCCGATCTGCATCCCACTTCACCTAGTCCCCTTCCAACCCCATTCCACCTGATGCCTTCAGAAAGCAGACCTAGAACAGAGGCTGGACAGAGTTAAGAATAAAGTTTATTAAAAGGCCTTAAAGGATACACCTTGGGCAGTACAAGAGACTGTCCAGGGCTACACCCAAGATGGACCAAAAATGGTCATAAAAATGGACAACTCATCACGAGGTCTCAAATTTTTAGAAGTTTAGGTCCATCTGGATATTGCAATCTGTTCACTGTCCAATGACAGCTACAGATGATGAAGTCCCATCCTTCTTACTTTCTCTCTTCAGTCCACCCTTGTTTATGCTTTTGGGCCTGAAACTTGTAACGACTGTCCTTGGTATCAAGCTAGAAAAGGAAGTGTTTTGTCTACCTACTCTGTGAAGAGAGCTCACTGTAGTGGTTTAGATTTGCTAATTTTGTTTTCCCAGTCTATGCACCAAATAAATGTTGTGGTTTTAAAGCAGTAACGAAAAAAATTACTAGAAAACCTACTAATTTCTTGCTGTGAGATATGGATTAGAACAAGAGCAAAAAAGGCTTAAAACTTAAAAGGAATAAAGGAAGTTTATTAACAAAACTACAAGAGTAAGAACACCAGAACAAACCTCCAGAAAACCCCCTTTATCCCTCACTACTTAACCATTCCTTTGTTCATATGACAACATAGAGACAAAAAACTTTGCAAGTTTGGTGTTTAAAACAGTCCCAATTCTTGCTAGAGTCTTTTCATCAGCCTTTGTAGAGAAACAGAAGTCTTCTTCTGCTAATCTATGGAGTTTCTCACAAGAAAACTATTTCTGTTATAGCTTTCTATTTTTCTGATGCCAGCTGCCTGGAAATTCTGTCATCAGTTCACTCCTCTCATTTCACATCACTCTGAGGTGTGTATGGGTCAATGAGTCTAGGGACGTCATTTTAAGGATGAGTTATTCAAGGGGAAAAGTTCTCTTTATCTGTCTCTGTGAGCTTCTCTGGAAACACAAGTTTTCTCATTGTCTCTCAAGGCCTCAAATCTTCAACTATTACTTTGCCTCACTCTGTTCCAGCACCTCACTGTATCATAATTACTCCACCTTTTGCTCAAAATCCAAACTTTGAACACACCATTCCTCTTCATATACTCTGTCATGAATTAAAGGAGTTTTTCCAGAACATTATTGTCCATCTCCATAGCCTTAACAGAAAAATATTACAGCTTAATTAAAGCATCTCCTTTTTCTCTACCGTTTCTGAAGCTTAGTTCTTTTCTTTAATTTCTCTGATAGTTTATAAAGTCTCTTTACATGTTGATTACTCTCTTTTTCTTTCTCTGGAAAAAAGGATTAATCTGCAAGTCTCATCTGAGTAATGAAAAGGTTAAAATCTTGCCCAGGCTTTGTAGCTGGTTTTGTGATCTCTGCTGGAGCAGCAGCTGGAGTTGTCTGCGATGGAAGACTCTTCATGGTTGCTCTGGAGAGTGTAGTCACTGTCTCAGCTCGCCGCAGGTCAAAAGCTTTTTCTTTTCTTTACTCGGCAGTCTCTGGTGAGTTCAGTCACAGCAAAAAAAACCTGCAACCGAGCCAGGGACCGGCCTGGCCCGGCCAGAGCCCGGGGAAAGCCTCGCAGGCCCCATCTCCCAGCCAGGAGCCGTGGCAGGGTCAGCCGAGCCCCTGCCCAGGCCACAAGCCAGGGAAGGGGACGGGAAGCCAGCTAAAGCTCAGTTACCTTTCACAGCCAGGAAAAAAGAGACAAAGAAATTCCCAGCCTTAGGGCTTAAGGTGGTGTTCACAGGTTGATCTCACTTTTCAATGGTTAAAACTGCTGTCAATTCTTAGAAATGGCCATCTGTTGGCTAGGAGACAAACTCCCATCAGCCTCCAGCGGTTTTAACTTCCTTAGCTCCCAAAGCTATCTTAAAGGTAAAGTCACCCTACAACACTCACTAACACTTAACAGGAAGTTCAAAACTACAAACTCAGACAGCGCAGAATACGAAAAATATGAAAGCTAAAACTTAAAGCATCACACCCCGAGGGGCTGTGGAATCAAGTAATTTTGGAGAGGGACTGAGTAGGATTCAGTGGCACTGAGAGGTTTTGAGGTGACAGATCAAACTCTCTCATCTCTTTGAGTGCTAAGAAATGGAGACAACTACACCAAATACCCCCACAACCCCCAAAAACTCCCAAATATCTCCCAGATTTCCTTGTAGCACTAGTAAAATGTTGACATGGTGCTGGAGCAGACTAGCTCTCCCTCTACCCCACGTCGGGAGTGGGACACACCTTGGGAGCAGGATGACCCGAGCTGCGGCTTAGAGCAAAGCTCTACGGCACTTTTGGCTGGTCAGGCACAGTGTAGAGGCAAGAATGAGGGGAGGCCTTTTGTATGGGTTTTGAAGATGGGTTTAATCTCCAAAGGAGTCAGAGACAAAAAATAGAAGTTGTACTCTATGCAACATCTTATATACAGGGGAGGAGTAATAGGAGGATACAAACAATGAACCAATAGGGAAGCCTTAGGGGAGGAGTTTAAGGCAGAGCTTACAATACATAAACCAATGGGAAAGCTTGGGGGGCAGGAACAGTTAACAAAATCCAATGGAACATCAAATACAGTGTGATTGACAGGGAGGATTGTAGAACAAAGGGTTGGTGCTGAGTAAGATTGACAAGGAAGGATCTGGATAAAGAGGTAGGGCCACAATGACTGACAAGGAAGGCACTGGAGAAAGGGGTTGGTGTACAATGACTGATGGCATAGGGAGAAGGGTACAACTTGGAAGAAACCAACATCAAAAGGGCAAAACAGAACAAACCATTTGTGCAACAAATCTCAAACTTATTAAAAACACACCACCACAAAATGTGAGGTTTTAGATGCCTTCGATGACTTTGTTTATTTTTACTACTATTTCTGTGTTTTAAAGGGATGAAGATGAATCAAAAGATAACTGAAACCAAAACAAAAGGACCACCAGCACAGTGTGTTCCCAACACAGATCACTGGGAATGTGGGTCATTAGGGCTCTGCCCAACGTGGGTCCTCTGATGGGGGATGGAGCTGGGGCAGGGCATGAAGCTCTTCTTGCACTTGGGGCACTCGCAGGGATTCCCTTACCAGTGCCCCCGTTTGTGTCTGGTCAAGTGAGAGCTTCTGAAGAAGCTCTTCCCACACTGGGGACACTCATAGGGCCTCTCCCCAGTGTGGATGCGCCAGTGGGTGATGAGCTGGAAGTTTCGCTTGAAGCCCTTCCTGCAATCAGGGCAGCGGAAGGGCCTCTCCTCTGTGTGAATTTGCTGGTGCACGAGGAGATTGGAGCTGGTCTGAAACCTCTTCCCACACTCAGGACACTCATAGGGCCTCTCCCCAGTGTGGATCATCTGGTGGATGATGAGTTGGGACCTCCAGCTGAAGGTCATCCCACATTCCCCACACTCATAGGGACGTTCCCCAGTGTGAGTCCTCTGGTGGCGGATGAGGCTGGAGCTCTGGGTGAAGCTCTTCCCACATTGGGGACACTCATAGGGCCTCTCCCCAGTGTGGATGCGCCGGTGCCTGACAAGGGTGAAGTTGCGCTTGAAGCCCTCCCCACACTCAGGGCAGCAGAAGGGCCTCTCATCTGTGTGAATCCACTGGTGCATGAGGAGAGTGGAGCTCCTCCGAAACCTCTTGCCACACTCAGGACACTCGTAGGGCCTCTCCCCACTGTGGATGCGCTGGTGACGGACAAGTTCGGAGTTGCAGCTGAAGCCCTTCCCACATTCCCTACACTCGCAGGCCCATTCCCCAGTGTGGATCATCTGGTGGCGAATCAGGAATGAGCTCTGGCTGAAGCTCTTCCCACATGCCAAGCACTTGTAGGGCTTCTCCCCATCCTGAAGCTGGTCATGGACCACCAGCTCAGAGCCCCGGCTGGATCTCTGGA